TGCTTCCATCCATGTTGCTGCAAATGGCAAGATTGCATTCTTTTTGATCGCCAAGCACTACTCCATTGCGTGTGTGTGTGTGTATGTGTGTGTGTATACACACCACATCTTCTTTATCCATTCATCTGTTGATGGACATTTGGGCTCTTTCCATACTTTGGCTATTATCTATAGTGCTGCTATAAACATTGGAGTGCAGGTGCCCCTTTGAATCATGTAACGTATCTTTAATCAAATTTTATTCCTTTCCCACCACCCATCCCTCTGGTGGCTCTGTTTGTATACAGGTACTTAGAAATTTTGATTCAATTATCAGTTCAAACTGCACTGAAGAGCTGGAGAATTCTGGCATAGAGGTCCTGAAGTACTCACAGGTATGCCCAAGCCCAAGTCACGCTGATAGCCCTTGGTCATCTGTATGTTGTGAATCACACTTTCTGCTTTCGGCTTCACCTGAGTGTTTTATAAACACAAACTCTGTGTCTACCCCCATCAGTGGTTCCCTTTCTAGAGTACTACCAATTCTTTTATTTATCCTACACAGCTGTATTTCTCAATATATTAGTGAAGCCAAGGTATAAAAGATTAAAAATCTGGTAGTTGAATTTAGTTAGAACTAAAACTTCATTTTTTTTTGTGCTCAAATGCCTGATTGAACATCCTTAATTTCCGAGTTTATATTTTGAGGAAATAATATTATGGAATCTATTTTTAAAGCATACCCTTTTGAATTTTGCAGATGGATCAAATTATAAAGTACTTTACTTCTTAGGGAATCACTAAATTTCAGAATTTTTCTGAGCATTAGGCTTGTAAAAGCATTTTTTTTCCCATGGCTGCCCCCTCTCGGCGATGGTCCTATCAAGTAAAATAATAAATGTGAACTTGCTTTATGAATTTGTAAAAGTAGTAAACTGGTAGTGGGGTCAGCACCCTTTAGGATCTTTACTAAACTACATGCACCAGCTTCTCTGACTCGACTATCACCTTCTCCTCATTCTGATTAAGAACATCTAGGAGAATATCACTTGTGGGGTGTGAGGAAGTGTCTTAGTGATGCTACTACAGCCCATTTCCTCTCCACGCTGTAGGTGCGAATCACTGTCCTTATATTTGTGTCTTAAATTTTTATCACCATTTTTAAGAAGCACAGTTTAAAATACCTTGTTTTTAAAATTTTTTAAGGATTTATTTTTGAGAGAGAGAGAGAGTGAGCATGTGAACAGGGGAGGGGCAGAGATCACAGGGGACAGAGGATTCCAAGCAAGCTCTGTACTGACAGTAAGAGCTGGATGTGGGGTTTGAACTCATGACCTATGAGATCATGACCTGGGCTGAAGTTGGATACTTAACCGACTCAGCCACCTAGGCACTCCTAAAATACCTTGTTTTTAGGCTGAAGCATTAGGGTGTTGACACGAGCTTCCAGCTGACATTTCTGGCCGTTGGCTGGGTGATTTGGGCCAACTTAGGAAACCGTCTTGGCTCCTGGGAGTTGCCATGTTGGTGGCCTTTGGGCAAAAGTGAATGTGTCAGCATGGAGGATCCACATGTAGGATTCAGTGGGGATCTTTTAAATGTTAAGGATTCTAGTTTCCTCTCTGCTTTCCTTCTTCTCTCCCTATCCTCAATTAACACAATTTTATTTGCCAATAGGTCAAGGAAGTTAAAAAGACTTCCTCAGGCTTGGAACTCTGCATGGTTACTTCAATTCCTGGTAGGAATCCCACCTTGACCACGATTCCAGATGTTGACTGCCTGCTTTGGGCCATTGGGCGGGACCCAAATTCCAGTGGCCTGAATTTGAACAAAGTGGTAAGTTGACTTAGTCTAGCCAAAGCTTTCTTCTTCTTTTTTTTTTTATGTCTATTTATTTTTGAGAGAGAATGGGAGCAGGAGAGGGGCAGAGGAGAGAGGGAGACACAGAATCTGAAGCAGGCCCCAGGCTCTGAGCTGTCACCACAGAGCCCAATGTGGGGTTTGAACCCACGAACCATCTGAGCCGAAACCGGACGCTTAACCGACTGAGCCACCCAGGCACCTCTAACCAAAGCATTCTTGAATCTGTTAGCAGTTCTGTGTTCTCCAAAACATGGCCGCCTAAACTTTGGTGGGTTCTATTAGGTTTGTTTCTCTTTATTTCATGCATCCAGTTTGTCATCAAATCCCATTGCTTCCCATAATTGAAAAAAATTTTTTTCCCTTTTTAGTATTGTCACCCTACATCAGGTCTCTGCCACCTCAAATTTAGATTGTCCAGCAGTGCCCTGACTAGCCTCTTCCTTACAGATTTCCTTTTTACTATAATACTTGTCTCTTTAAAGCCCTGTAATTATTCCTTATTATCTGCGGCTCTAATCTCAATCGCTGAGTATGTCAGTCATCCTGGACATTGTAGGTGTTTGGGGACGGATGTGGATGTAAAGCCGATCTAACAGGGTTATAATTAATATTCTTACTTTTTTTTTTAAGCATATTTATTTGTTTGAGAGAGACAGACACAGTGTGAATGGGGGAGGGGGTGGAGAGAGAGAGAATACCAAGCAGACTCTGCACTGCCAGCACAGAGCTTGACTCGGGGTTCAGATCACAAACTGTGAGATCATGACCTGACCTGAAACCAAGAGTTGGTCACTTAACCAACTCAGCCACTCAGGTGCTCCTTTCTTAGTTGTTGTTTTAAATTTTTTTTAATGTTTGTTTGTTTGTTTTGAGAAAGAAAGAGCCAGGGAGGCACAGAGAGAGAGAGAGAGAGAGAGAGAGA